GAAACAGTGTCCACAGACACCTGTTGAGCAAGAAAGAATGAATCAGATCCCATATGCTTCGCTAATCGGATCGATCATGTATGCCATGATATGTACAAGGCCAGATGTATCGTATGCCCTAAGTGCAACGTGTCGATACCAATCGAACCCAGGAGAGGCGCATTGGACTGCGGCCAAGAACATCCTTAAGTACCTGAAAAGGAACAAGGATAAATTCCTTGTGTATGGAGGCCAAAAAGAACTGGTTGTTGAAGGTTACACCGACGCTAGCTTCCAGACTGACAGAGACGACTTCAAGTCACAGTCAGGGTACATATTCTGTCTGAATGGAGGAGCGTTTAGCTGGAAGAAGGCCAAGCAGAGCACCACTGCAGACTCTACAACTGAAGCCGAGTACTTGGCCGCTTCAGAAGTTACCGAGGAAGCTGTTTGGATTCGCAAGTTCATTAGCGAACTTGGTGTTGTACCCTCAATCAAGGGGCCGATAGATCTGGCATACGATACATCTGGCCTTGTACATATCATGGCATACATGATTGATAACAATGGAGCTATCGCTCAGGCCAGGGAACCGAGAGAGTACCAGAAGGTCAAACACGTGCAAAGGCGATTTCACATGATAAGGGAATGGAAATCCGAAGGTGAAATCAGAATTTGTAAGATTGGCATAGATGATAATGTAGCCGATCCTTTGACTAAACCGCTGCCTCAAGTGAAACACAACAAGCACAATGAGGCGATGGGAATCAAGCATGTTGGAGACTGGCTTTGAAATTCCCTGTACATGTGTTTTAATTAAATAGGATATTTAATGTAAGACACTGTATTCAAACCATTCATTAATGGAGTAATTAATTTTTTTGCAAAATTATCATTCACTCCATTACTATTTAATTGTGGTTTAGAATTAAATAATGAGTCCATTCGATTTACGGAAATATTCAAAACAGGGTATCAAGACCATGTCTTGGATAAAGAAACACCTGTTAAGTGAATATTGAATATTTAAATCGAAAATTGTCCCTAATCGAGGTCATCTAACAGATGGACGATTGATGACCGCCATAGATTAGTGTGTAGTATAATTTACAGCACCGTTTCTTGTGATGCGAGGACGTGACGGTCATAAATCATTTGCACAGGCACAGTTTGGAACTGTACTGGATAAGACCTATGAGAGTATTTTTAGAAATTTTAAAATTGTCATAAATACATTTCTCATTATGACTATCGGAATTTGTTTCCTCCGACCATGAGTATTGTGAAGTTTTCTTGTTTGAGTACTAGACTCTTTGATGTTTCCTAACATCTGCCGTAACTGGGGATCATAACGAGAACACTCAGGAGACTATGTCCTCTTAGTAAGAGGAACTTATAATACAAGACTGGGATTGTCCCCCTAATAACAATAGGGAAAATGTTTTGTTGTTTACAAGGCCGCTCGAAGAGCGAGACTGTGAAAATGCATGGCCGTGCTCAGATGGATTTTAGAAATCATCTGCTTATTGACAGTCGAACTCGGAGATCGAGAAACACTTCTGAACGTAATAAGGATGGCAAAGAATCTTACCTTATAGTTCACTAAGAAACATTAAGTGACATAGGAAATGGGTTATACACTGTATGCACACTTGTCCGGAAGGACAAGTGGGAGATTGAAAGGAATGGTGTCCTTCCAACAAGTGTATTCTTCCGATAAAGGGTTCAGAATTATTACAGAGCTAATTCTTCAGTAAGGTCAAGTGATTGGAATGCCTAGGTGGAGGCCACTTCCGATCAGTAATATTGATGTACAATTGATGTTACAGCTTAATCTTAACTGAACCCTTCGGGTCGAACCTAATCGAATCACCGATCCGAGACGAAGAATTAATCCGAAAGGATTTAATGAGTCAGCAGAGTTTTACGAATACAGACGTCGAATATCGATCCTAGGGCGTTGAGACCGAGCGTCGCGAAATCACAAAGCAACAAGTACGAACATAGCCCTAGCACCACACTGGCCTAGCCATGTGGATGCTAGGCTAGTTCAGGCTAGCATGCACCTAGCATGGCTAGGCGCAAGCCTAAGCACACTAGGTGTGCTAGGCGCACCATCGCAGCCTAGGCGCGCCATGGCAACCTATCGCAGCTCTAGCATCATGCCTAGGCGCTATCGCAGCCCTAGCATCATACCTAGGCACCATCGCTGCCTATCGCAAGCACCACAAGCGCTAGGAGCACCATCGCAGCTAGCAGCGTGCTAACATGATGCCTAGGCACCATCGCTGCCATCGCAGGCACCAGGCGCACCAAGCAACCCATCGCAGCATGCGTGCTGGCTTGTGTGCTAGCCTTCGCATGGCAGCACCAAGCAGCGCACCATGCATGTGCGAGGGCCTGGGCGCCAGCATATTGCTAGGCCACGCACAGCAGCCCAGCATCACCACGCACCAAGGCTGCTGTGTGATGCGTGGGTGTGCGTGTGGTGCGAGGCCAATGCACGCTGTGCATGACTAGTGTGCATGGTGCGTAGCTAGTGCATGTGCGAGGGATGCTGCGAGGATGGTGCGTGTGGCTGGCGAGGCAAAAGGGCCAGCATGCGTGGCTCGCTAGCAGCACGCATGCTGGGTGTGCGAGCATGTGCGAAGGGGTGCAGCGATGATGCGTGTGGTGCGTGGGATGCGAAGGCCAGCACCAGCGCCAGCACGCACCAGCGCCTAGCACTGGCACGCACCAGCACCAAGCATGCGAGGCTGCTGGGCAGTCTGGTGCTAGCTGGCTGCGCTGGCTGGCACTGCTAGCTGGCAGCAGCCCTGCAGCCCTTTTGGCTGAGGCGGTTTTGTGAGGGTGGGGACCAAGGCTTTGGGAAAGCCTTGGGGAGAAAGGCAATGGTCCCCCCACCTCTCCATGGTCCTCACCTAATCTTCTCTCTCCCTTTGACACTTGTTGCATTGTGATTGAATTTAATTATTGATTTATTTTAGAAATAAACTAATTAGAAAATTATTCATTCTCCCACATTGGTTGGGGAATGAAGTTCAAGGGTTCATTTCCCTATAAATACCAAGCTTGGGTATTGGGAAATGAACAACCTTGAGTGGAATTAAAAAGGCAACTCTAAGTAAGAGTAAACCTTTGATTCGTAAAACTCATAGTTATTTTGTCCGGGTCTTGACTAACCTTCAAGACTTAGGACGCTCGGGTCGGGTCGAGGGTACGATCCGTCGGAGATCTCGTGTTTTCAAGATTTTGAAGTAAGAGCTCTTTGGGAGCGAAGCACACGACAAAGGTATAATTCTTGTTCTTAATCTTGTTTGATTAAGTTTAATATGCTTGTTAATTGTTTTAATTAAGGGGCGGGTCTTGGTGGGTTTCCTTCCGCGTATTGTCGGGTCACTACGAAACCCTACAATTTGATCTCTTTGTTTCTCAGCAAGCTTGTCGAGAGCAGCTTGAACAACATCTCTTCCACCAATCAACAACCGAGTTATTACTTCAGGATCTTTCTCAAATCGAGCCTCTTCAAATTCTTTACGAGCATTTTCTCTAAGAATATCTCGCCACAACACCCCTCTAGAGTCAGGCCACAAGAAGAGTCGTGTGGCACGGAGTATATCTCTGTATAGACCCAATGCCTCACGTCGAGTGCTGGTGAGTCGTTGTCGATTTAAGAGCTCATTTTCATCATCGTCATATGATGGTTTCTCTTTCACCAAATGTCGGTCAATCAGCTCCTCTATAGTGTCTGGACCATTATGTAATCTCCGCCAAAAGGTTGCTCTTCGGGCAAGTTATGTAGTGACAATATGGTGCTTTTGCAAGTGAATGATCATACCTATACATCTAATAGTTAGTGAAAAGATTCTATTGTATGCAATAAGGGGGTGTTTGGTATAGTAATTTTAGATGTAGGAAACAGATTCAATTAATTGTTTCCAATTCTAGATGTTTGGTATGGGTTAAATGTAAAAAATACCATTTTCAGAAGGTAACAAAAACCTCTAATTTGTTACCCTTGACAAACTAGTGGAAACAAAATACGTTTCCTTACTCAATCACAATCTACTCAAATTGTTTCCATTCCACTAGAATACCAAACATGTAGTAAAGGTAAAGTTTATCATTACCCTTTCCCCTACTTATTTGAATCATTTCCGTTTCATTTAAGATGTTTATACCAAACACCCCCTAAGAATGATTTTATGTATAAATAAAAAATTTACATGTTATGAACCCTGGCGAATAATGAAGGGATGCAAAGCAGATTCTCCAACTGCTATCAACCGACCCAGGATCACGGAATTCAGATACATTAATAGTCATGCTCAAGTATTTTAGCAATTACGGAAGTTGTATACTCCAGCATATGCAATGCAAAGCTGCCTAAACTAGGTCTGATCACCTTATTTAGTCGCCAAAGCCCATAACACAGAGAAATAAAGCACTACCACTACTTAGTAGTACTACAACACTAATTACCATATCAAATGGAGGAAATATAGAAAAACCTTAGAAAAATAATTTTTACCCAGCTGAATACACCAGAAACAAACAGATACCCCGACATTCAAAAATTGATATTCAATTTCTTAGTTCAATCCTAACATTAGTAGTTATCAAATTTGATTCAATTATCAAATCACGCTCGAAAATTCACATAATTTTAGGGAGAAAAGGCACATTTGATTCAATTTTTATTAAATAACAATCAAAAGGGTCGTCCCTGAGCTTAGTTTCGATTTCATAGTTCAATCCTAACATTAAAGGGTTCGTTCTGCAAGACATTAGCAACCAAAAATGATTCAATTATAAGATCATTAATTTTAGGGAGAAAATGCATATTTGATTCAATTATCAGATTAGGCTAATAATTTTCTTCTCTAGTTAGTAATTAGAACCAAGTTTAAATGTTCAAACCTTAAATTTACTATACTGACGATTAAATCAAATTAGATCAAAGATATAAACCCTAGGTTGTGAAATTGATATGATGATTACATAAAGAAACAACAAATTACCTCAGAAGCTGCTTCAACGGGGGATACAAGTATTAGAAGACGCTTCAATGGAGAGCGTCAAGTGCGCTTCAATGGAGAACTGAGAGAGAGGTACGTTCATCCGGTTTTTTTTTTGTTCTTATTGACAACAATTAGAATAATGGTTGGAGCCTCATTAAAAGCCTTGACTCGCCCAGTTAAAATGGGTCAGATCTGTCCATTGAATAAATGAGGCGGGTTTTAACACGGTCGCCTAATTATGTGTCTTTAACATGACGAGCTGAGCCCTATGAAGTAAATTGTACTAGATGTAGATCATGTAGTTATAACATTACAAATTTACAATAGTACTTCAATAAGTATGTACTTCTTCTGTTCTTTTTTACTTGACCTGTTTCTTTTATCACGTTTGTCAATACAAAATTTTAACGATAAATAACTTTAAAATTCCATAAGTAAAAATTCTAAAAGTTATATATTATGATAGTACTTAATGAGACGAATTCAAATTTATCCCACATGAATATATTTTTCCTTACATATTATTCACAAAAGACGGTCAAGAGAGGGCTGATGAATAGTGTAAAAGTCAAAGCGGTTCAGGTAAAAAAGAACTAATATAAGGAAGTATAATACAGGTTTAATGGATAATAAGTTAAATGAGACGATATATTTGGGTTTTCCTCATGTTGAAATGATTTCTAGTTATTAATGATTTTGGTAAAAGGTTAAACGGTTCATGGGTTGTAAACGATTCGGGTATTATAGGTTATGGTTAGTTTAATATTAGGTATTAGGTCATATATGGTTCAACAAAATTCGGGTTGGTTCAGTTTCAAGTTGAATATAATTGGATCGATCGATTTTCGATTCCTAATTAACGTACGGATTCTAACTTATTCAATTCTCGCTGAGTCAAGTTAGTAGAATATTGACAATTGACAACATCAGTATAATACATAAAGATGAGAATGGGTTGGCCCAACCCAAGGCATGACGCAACTTAGCATGAAAAAGTATAGTACGACATGGCACAACACATAAATGTGCGTGTTGGGCCATGAGTCGCCTTTATTTGGGAGAAGCATAATAACACAATATGGATTAGCACAACAAAGCACACTAAAATTAGTGAAATTTTCTTTGACATGCAAGCCCGACACAGTGACACATGAGCTTGTGCAGTGTAGGCCGACCTTTTGAAAATTCACCATCAAAAGTGCCCTTACAATTATCCGTAAGGAGATAACTGAACAAGAGGATGGTTCGTGGGATCTTGTTTGGAAGCTGAGAGTTCAACAAAGAATCAAAGTATTTCTATGGTTAGTAATGCACAAACGAATAATGTGCAATACTAACCGACACAAACTTTCTCTATGCGATAATCCTTGCTGCAAACTTTGCGTAGAAATAGAAGTAAATGTGCTACATGTACTCGGGGATTGTAAGGCAGCAAAAGAAGTGTGGAGGCAAGTTGGTGGCCCATCAAATGCTAAAGATTTTCATACAGGTTCTCTCCAACAATAGATTGATGTGAGGAATATCAAGGTTCAGCACCGCAATGACATGTCCCCTAAGATATGGCTAACATACTTTGCAATTGTAATTTGGTGGTTGTGGAGATGGAGAAATGTTGTGGTGTTTGATAAAACAAATGAATCCCAGTAGACGTTAAACAATTTCTCTTAGACAGGTTTGAGAAAGTTTGGAGAGTCCTTGGGGATGATGTTGTTAGCACGTCTCAATTGCCTAAAGCTGGAAAGGAGGCCTTTATCAAGTGGATGGCACCCCTATAATACCCTGAAAATTCCCTTCTCTTAAAAATACTCATTTTACTCTAAATAAAACCCTTTTTAGGAAATAACCAAAATATTACCGCCACCGTGATAACGGCTAAGAAAAATTTTCAAAGTCACACAGCGGAAGTCTAAAAACAAAAACCAACTTTTAAAAATAAAACTTGAGTTCACAACCTCAAAACAAAAGTAGAATGCAACATTCACAAGTTGGAACCAATTCAAACATGGCCCTTCTTAAAACCAATTAAAAATAAACACAATATTGTTAGTCCATAACAATAACCAATAATTCAAAATATTAAAACTAAGAAACATAACAAGTAATCCTCTGCACTCTATCCCATCATGCTCTTCATGCTTCAAGTACCTATTACTTCCTCTTTATTCAACCCTCTATTCACCATATAAATAGGTCGTAGTAGGGTCAATCCAAAGGAAAGTCAAACACAACCAACAAAGTACGAATCAGCAAAGCTGAGTACGTACATATGCACCACACTAACATGAATATCCTAGCTTCAAAATAAAAATAATAATTAAAACATGCTCGCCATACAATCACAAGTCTACTTACCTTTGACTCATAACTAGCAATATTAATTATTAATAATAATTTTGGATTACGCATCGAACGGGTTTCCTTCCTTGAAAATAGCCCATTTAAATATTGAGCTTCCAATCAGGGAGCTACCCCAATTGACACCTACTATGTCACACTTGTGATGGAATTCCAGCGCATTAATAATAAAAGAAAGTACAGCGTCATGTACCCTTGTAGAAGTTATGGTTAAATATAAAACCCCATGCATAACTCCCCCCATATGTTCATACTCAAGGTATATACGTTTCAAGAGTTTTGGTGCGTATCCTCTTACACTTTACGTGATTTACCAATCTAACATGTGATGAATCCAACCAATCAATCAAGAATAAACATAACAATCAATACAAACTTCCAATTCATTCTTGAATTAAATAGTGAGCACATACTATTTATTTTAATTAAGGTTCATTGCCTAATTTTGTGCACAAAATTGACGATTACTACCTTGGTGCATAAGATGCACTACTAAGCTTCCTTGACTCAAACTCAACTTACATGAGTGAGTAAATAAATAAACTAACTTCTTACTCAACACCAATAATAAATGGGTGAGAAATAAATTCATGAATCATACTCAATAATTCTAACTTTAGCTCTTTAATTCACATATAAGCCTTGCTTATTAAATACATGCTTTCTTGATACTTGAAAATAAAACGTACTTCCATGATTCATACATACTCAACTCGTATCATGCCTCAAATAACATATTCACATGCTTGCATAACAATTCATGCTCAAATAACATCAATTCCAAGATATAATCAACCAAACATGCTACTAACTAATCACTTAAATCATACTTTACAAATCCTACCTTGATACTACACATACACAAATATTCTTGTGCACATACGTACCTTGAAAAACACCTAAACTAGGCCACACTCGCTAGAAATCACCTAGCTCGAAACTTCCTACAAATAAAAATACATAACTATAATTAATTTACTATACTCACAAATTTCCAGCATCTATAATACACTTTAAACCTTACTAATTAACCCAATTTTATGCCATAAAACCTTTTCTTTAAGTGGGTACTTCAAATCCTTTCAAAAAAACTTAATTTTTATGACTTAAATAAAATTCTAGCATACTTATTTAATATAAAACATCACTAATAGACTAGAAAATCATATTTAAATCATTAAAACTTTTTTCCTTTTATGGGTAATCAAACCCTAACTCAATAATTAAAAAGTAGTGTGCATAAATAAATTCAAGCATTAATTTGAGGGCTTTAGACTTATTAAAAACATGTTTAAACCATTAATTAAACAACAACAACAACCTAGGATCAAACCCTAACCATAAACAATATATTCCCAAATTCTAGGGTTTGTAAATTGGGGTTTTTGATTGAATAAAAATCTGAAAATTATATAAATAAAATAACAACATCAAATACCCAAAATCAATACCAAAACATAATCAAATCATGTTTTTTTTTTATTTATAATAATAACACCGAACCAAAAACAAAAGGAGAGAGAGAGGTGGCTGGCGGTGGTCGCCGGCTGCTGCTGCTGGCCGCCAGTGACTGGTGGTGGCGCCGCCGTCAGTGGGTGCCGACGTGCGTTGGGGGGAAGAGGAGAGAGAGGCGTGGAAGAAGAAAGAAAAAGGGAGGGAAAATAAGGAGAAAAAGGAGAGAGAATATAAAGAGAAAACTTTTGGAATTTTTGTGAAATCTGACAATAATGATTTTAGAATGAAAAGTCTTGAGGTTTTGAAGTATTTATACTCTCCTTTTAAAACAAAACTCATACTTATAAAACTGCCATTATTAAATCCTACCCCCCCCCCCCTTGACTTCTTCCTTTGGGGCCAACTTGTTGGGCTCTTAAGTGCCCTTAATTTCCCAGCATGTTGATCCAATCATTTAAATAAAAATAACCCAATTTTAAACACTTTTATTGCCTCAATTAATGACTCGTATTATTTTATGCACACTTACATAATATTTAAATAATTAATTTCTTTTAAAATAAAATGAATCATTTTAATTTATAAAAATAAATAAAATAAATAATTTATATATAAAAATACGGAGTATTACAACCCCCAACTGGATGCTATGCCCTTAACTCTAACGGTGCAGCCAAAGGTGCCCCTGGGGATGTAGGAGGTGGAGGCTTATAAGAGAATGTACAAGAAAGTTAAGGCATGCATATTCACTTTAAATTGGGTGTGTGCTCCTCCTTTAAAGCGGTGAACCTAGCTGTTAAGTATGGGTTAGAGCTGGCAAGGCGTATGGGAGTTAACTTGCTCCAAGTTCAAGTGGATAACTAGGCTTTGGCTTGCATCCTTAGTCAATCTGAAGCTTATGGAGGAGAATGTGTACATAAAATTTTCAGATGCAAGGAACTAATAGTAGATCAAGCATGACAAGTTGAAGTTAAATATGTCTATAGAGAAGCGAATAATGCAACGGATTGGTTGACCAATCAAGGGGTCTTTCATAACAACAGAATTGATTTGATTTAAATCCCCCCTTTAGCTCTTGGTCATATTTTGCATAATGATATAGTAGGAGTGGTCTTGCCACGTTTTATCCCTCCGTAGTTTTTTTTTAGTTTGTTTTTCCGAGGCTTTGTCTCCCGTTTGCATCAAAATAAAAAGAAAGAAAATAAAAATTCCGACACGACAAGTGACTTTAGCTTGAAGGTTTTGGTAACCCCAAAGCATATGGCTCAACATAACCCATACTCATCATTAGTACGAGTACAGGATACCATATCATGTGAGGTCGTGTTGTACCTCGAACCCGCTAGACCTAGTGCCATCTTCTTAATTACCAGATGTCAACAAATGGACATACAAGACAAACTGCGCGGAGTTTAAAGTACGGATACGCATCCACTGCAAGGTTCAGTTCAAGGCTTGTGTTGATTTGATTCTCCCAATTTCAAAAAATACAAAAGTCGAAACAGAGCTAAACAATGGCGTTTTCATGGTGGTTCTCTCGTCTACGCTCGTCTTCCAGAACAATCTTTACACATCTTCGATCATCCCAGTCCACACCTTCAACTGCCGTTTCTGAAGTCATCTCTTCCAAAGAAAAAAACCCATTTTTATGGTGGTCTTCTTACTTAGTCCCCATTTCAGCTGCTTCACTTTTGCTCCAATTTCAATCCAATCCTCCCTCTTTTTCTGACTCTTTCCATTCTGATTCTCGGTGATTTTCTCATCTTTCCCTTTTATTTAATTTTTTCAATTTTTAATCTATTGCATGGTAACTATGTTTGATTTTTTGGGTTTTTCTGGGGTATCAAGGGTATGTTACTCGAACTTTTCATTTAACTTCATTTATCCGTGTCGGATACTCGACACTTGCACATAGCCATAGCTATATAGGTGTGACAATTAAGACCGACCAGTTTCGACCAAATTCATGCAAAATTTATATAAGATGGTCATGTTGACTTTTGTTTAATCACTTCTAGCCTAGTCCGAATAACATAGTTAACAAAATAAATAATTTTTTAACTGTGATTGTTGTTGAATGATAGTACTCTTCCTATGTTGCTATATGCAGTTGCTTTTTTGTATTTGGTGAGTGATTTTATGAACTCAATACCCGAGTAACATAAATTTGTCATTGACTGTCGCTGTTAATGTCGATTGTTGATGTTGTTTTTCGTGTTCTGAATTATGTTCAGAGGTGTTGGCATAGGTGGTAATGGAAGCACTGAGTTTGTGGTGAAGGGTTCTCACAGAAGTGTTCCACAAGAACTCATCGATGATTTGAAGGCTATATGTGGGGTATTATTTTACCAAATCCGTTTAACTTTGATGATTGAATGTACTTGCTGTCTTGCTAACTTGGTTTACTGTATCTTGAATGTATAGAATGATTTTTTAAGGGATTCTTCTATTTGAATTCTTGAAAATTAAGCAAGTATCAAGTCTCTTAGAAGCTACTTTATGTTCCAGCCCTGTCATTGGACTTGTACGAAGTTCATTGGCCCTAGGACAATTAATATGGTAGGATTAGTGAAATTTATTGGAATTTGGGAATTATTAATGTTGCATTCTCCTTAAGGTTATTGAAAGTTGCTAAGATATTACAAGTATAAAGGCTTACACCTTGGTGCTACAAAGTCAATGATGACATTTAGCGTTGGAGGCTCCTTGAGAACTTTGACTTATGTGCAGAGAATTAAATAATTAATAGTATGCTATGAATAGATGGTTTTAATTATCCATGGTATCTTGAGTCAGACATACTAATGGTGCAAGTTCCTCTCAGTTATTGAAATATTGATGTAAAATTTTATAAGGATTGAGGCATTCACCTTGGTGCTTTTAGTCAATGAGGACATCTAGAGTAAGATGATCAATGAGAGCATTGGCAAACATGCATAGAGTACCGCACTATTATAGCTTTATATCATAATACCTTAGAAAATTTTCAAAATTATACCTTGTGTTGTATTTTTTGAAGCCAACATTTTATAGTGTCTTCTATTCTGCTTTTCTCATTTGTAATACAGTGTGGGAAAGCTGTTGCTTTACTTGCCTATTGTAAATCTTAAAATTCCCTTGTGGTTGGACGCTAGACTTGTGATGTTTACAAATTCCTTTTTGTAAGGGATTACAATTATGCTAGCTTGTATGTGATTAACGAAAATTTACAATAACGAAGAGTGAAAAGCAAGTAAACAACAAGATAAGGAAGCATTTACCTTGGGAAACCCGAGCCGGGAGATTAACCCACTAATCCACTATAGAGTAATCTTTGATGAAGAACAATGTAGTTTAAACTTTATAGGCTTGCAAAGCACCATAAAAGCTACACCCCAAATACACCCCTCCCCACACTCAAATCTTAAGTGTTAGGACTTTTACATTTGAGACTCTCTTTCTCTCTCTCTCTCTCTCTCTCTCTCTCTCTCTCTCTTCATCATCATACCTTATTACAATGACTAACACGAGTCTGTATAGTGCAAGGCGTAATAAACAATCTCGTGGTCATAAATAAGCCACACCACTTAAATCGCAAAGCCATAGAAAACAGGGGCAAGTGGGTTCGGGCAAACCTGACTTTGTTCGGCTGAACCTTTTTCATGTGACTTCGAGTCACTTTCCCTTCGAATTCGAGCGCACCTTCCACAGGTTTGGGTGAACCTTCCATAGCTTATGACTCTTTGGAAAACTCTTGAGACAAGCTTTCACCTCCAACTTGAATCATCTTAAAATCATTTCTAGATTTTGAGATATGATCAAGCTTATACTCCAAAGCTATGCATCCTTATGCCTTGAACAGTTCTCCACACCTTCCAAACCTAACACTTTTGACCTGGAGAAATAGGTTCTTAGAAAGTTAAGTTGCTCATGATGGTAAAAAAAAATTTCGTCAAGGGGTGTCTGAAGAGTATAAGCTCCACCGACAAATTGAAGGAAATAATGCAACAAATGTTGCATTAAAGTAATTTTCATTTCTTGATTAATGGTTATCTAAATTGTGTTTTGGCATTGACCTGTTCTCCACTAATATGGTCTATTTATTTTCATGCTACATACTGGTTTATTCCTTTATTTTGTTTTTTATGATCATAATAGAATCTTCCCTTCTGTAATTGGAATATTTATGCTCCTAACTTAAATAACATGGAAGATATAAAATTTCATGACTTTAGCCTTTTTTTTTCTTTGCCTCAAGAGGTTGATTCTTCGTTTTGAGTCAGAGTTGTATAGTTGAGTTGTGCTTAGATTATACAAAATTACCAGAAGATTGATCATGATATTTGTTCTAGTCCATTTGTATATGTAGGTTATAATCCAAAGGGGGCTTTTAAGCCACCTGATGAAGGCAAGAGATATATTTTAATTTTAGTTTCCAATCTGGTGCATTATAAATTCGTTTTTGGTATTATTTCCCACTTAATTTTATTTTTCTTAGCTTTCTTCCTCTCCGAAAGACGGTGGGTTAGGTCTTGTATCTATTTTCAAGAACTATTATGTTTTTCATTTGATTAGAAAAGTTGAAATCATGGCTATGCCTAGCTATAGCAGAGCTAGAATACAACTTTTATGGACTTTAAAATCATAGTATAGCCTAGGGCACGCTATGTTAGGTTTGGAAGGTGTGTAGAACGGTTCAAGGCATAAGGGTGCATAGCTTTGGAGTTAAGGTATGGATTGATTGCTTGGTGCAAAGCAACAATGGATGGCAAAAGGGCTAACTTCAAACGAGCATATCTCACGATCTAGAAAGATATTGAGATGATTCAAGTTGGAGGTGATAGCTTGTCTCAAGAGCTTTCCAACTATAAGTCATAAGCTAGACAAGAAACGAGAAAGTTATGGCCATTTTATGAAGAGTTGCCTGGCTGCCGAAAAGTTCGCCCGAACATATGGGAGTTTCGCCCGAACTTAATGGGAAAAGTGACCCGAAGTCACTGGGAAATGGTTAGCCCGAACTTGCTTGGGGTTCACCCGAACCTGGTTTGTGATTTCGTCTTTGCAATTAAAGGCCGTGGATGCTTTACTACCGTAGGATTGTTTATTATGCCTTGCACTATATATACTCATGTTATATCATTAATTAGGGTATGAAGTGATAATTAGAGAGAAAGAAAAATCCTCTAGTATTAGCTCATCTTCATAGGGTTTAAGAGAGAATTAAGAGAGAATTGAGCTTTCATAGTGGTTTGAGAGCTTGTAATCATCATCATCAAATTACTTCAAAGTGGATTGGTGGGTTTTCTCCCGGCACTCGGGTTCCCAAGGTAAACTCTTTCTTGTCTTCGTTGGTTACTTGTTTTCGCTCTTCATTATTGTTGATTGTCATTAATCACATACAAGCTAGCACATTCGTTAATCCTTTCACACTATTGTAGAAATTCAGCTAAAAAGATATGCTGCCCTTTTTCATTTTTTATTTTAATATTTGGTTTCAAGACTCCAAAAATTAGTACAGAATTTTGGAAGTAGTTTAAAGTTTTGTATGATAGCCTTGGTAATTTTGTAAATTGATAAACAAATTGGAGACTTTCTATTTTGGTTTCCATAAATTGGATCCTAATTTTATATATGACTGAAATGTAAAAACAGGCAAAACCATAAAAATACCATATATGCTAATATAGTGCTTGTACTGGTACTGAGTTTTGTAAGGACCTTATATGTTGTAATAATTGAACTGCAAAGTGTCTTTTTTCTTAAACGTAATATGGTTTCTACATTTTGTATATGTGATCTCTTACTGATGTGAATTTTGTCTAAGAGCAGAAGGGGTAATGCATACTAATTGAAGTTGTTTTTAATTCAGCCACTGAAAAACATCATCTTTTAAGGTGGATCATTTCAATTTTTGGGTTTTGACAGGAAAACATGTCAATGGATTATGAGGAGAGATCTGTGCATGGGAAACCACAAAACAGCTTTCACAAAGCTGTAAATATTCCTGACATTGTCATCTTTCCAAGGTTTGGGAGCTTTCTTTCACTATTTTAATCACTGCTTGAAAATTAATTTTATGTCAATTAATTTTGTTCGGTTTTCAGTGAGATTCTTATAATTTAGCACGAAATAGTTGAATGTTGATGATGCTCGGGTCATATTATTTAGCACCCATTGGTGAAAGTTTGTACTCCTTCCATTCCTTAATGTTTGCTCCATTTGACATATTTACAATTTTCAATGCACATCTTTGAGTGAGATAATATCTAAAATAAATGTATAACTATGAAAAGTTGATATTTTGAAACTATACATTGAAACCAATCTAACAACATAACACATGAGCATGTTTTTTCTTATATATACTGATGAATATTCGGGGTCAAAGCTTCACGCTCTTCAAATGGAATATTTCAATTGGGAGAGACATAAAGAGACAAAGGGAGTATTATTTAAGCCAGTTTTTCTAATTCTAAATTAATAACGAATTGCTCGATTGCTGAATGCAAGATCTGGTAATATGCTGCTGTCTTATCTTATTGTATCTTTACCCCCTTGATTCTGCCCCGGTTTTTTGGTTATATTTTTACCCTCTAGTTATGGAAGTATAAAAACTTTTGATTTTATTATTTGTAGGTCCGAACAAGAAGTTTCGTTGATTGTTAAGTCTTGTAACAACCATAAGGTATAGTTTCTTTGACATGCTTGTTAGAAGCTTAAACCATGTGCTAGTATCTTACCTTGTAATAATTTTAGCTAGTTATCTTACTAAATTTCTCATATTTACTGTGACCTATTCTTGTGAGAAATATGGTCCATACTGAAAAACTCTTTTTGAAGTCCCCTTTGCAAGTTTGATAAAAGTTTCTTCTTCTTTCACGAGCAGGTTCCTATCGTACCATATGGTGGAGCTACATCTATAGAGGGTCATACTTTATCTCCTCATGGAGGGGTCTGCATTGACTTGTCACTAATGAAAGTATGTAGTCTTGTCTTTAGATGATGCTGGTTCTTGATATCTACTTGTATTAATGTATTAGAGAGATCATATTTCTCCAACTTATAAAATTAAAAAGATGATCCTCGAGGCTATATCTCGTGGATGTTTTTTTTTTTTTTTTTTTTTTTTTTTTATTACAACTCACTTGCTGATGTTTAATAAGATGTGACAATAATCTAGATTCACGAATAATACAGTGTGGCAGAAAAATGGCACCAAAAGTGATTTACTAAAGTTTTAAACACATAGAGAGAGGAATAAGGTAAGTAGTGTAAGGTTAGAAAAAGAGGGGTATAGTTCAGAAAGTTAAGCAGTTAAGCACCATGCACACAAACAAGGAAACCTGTCAAAGACAATGGCCTTTGACTTAGTTAATATATGTACTTGAATTAGACATGTAAGAGCTCTTATGTATGATAATTATTAAAAACTCAAAATTCTTTCTAATTTGACTGCAGAATGTTAAAGCATTACATGTCAGGGATATGGATGTGGTTGTTGAGCCTGGGATTGGATGGATGGAGTTAAATGAATACTTGGAACCTTATGGCTTATTCTTTCCTCTTGATCCTGGTAACAGTTAACTAATTCTTCTTCACAATATTGCACTGCAGCTGATATGATTCTTATATATTCTTAAATACTTTATCTTTATGTACTAATTAGTACACCCATTTCCTGTACATTTTCCAAACTGAATGCTGTCAGTTGATAGACAGCAGATCTAGAAGCAATGGGGTGGCAGCACTTAGCTGTCTTATTTTGAGGGATCACGAATTCAGATATAGTAAACATCTTTTAGGAGGGGTCGATATAGTGAAAAATTAGTGTCTCATATACCAAGAGCTCAAATTCTTTCTCCAATATGATATGGTTGGGGTCCCTGGTTTTATCCATAAAACATAAGAAGTTGATAGACCAGCAGATGTAAGAAGAAGCAATGGGGTGGCATTTAGTTATCTTATTTTGCGAGATCAAGAATTTAGATATATTAAACATCTTTTGGGAGGGGCTGATATAGTGGGAAATTGGTGTCTCAAGAGCTCAAATTCTTTCTCCAATATGTTATGGTTGGAGTACCCTGTTATTATCCATAAAATAGGTGTATTGGTAAGATGGAGATTGATTATCTCCATGATATCCAGGCTTCTTCTTAAGCAGCCAAGTACTCAAGTATCTGGGTCAAACAAAAAATGCTGGCTGAAATTTTACTAGGGTCTTAATTATGTGTCGCTATTGTTAGAGTTTAGGTACATGACAACTGCGATATTATTCGCTTTTAAGATGGTAAATGTACAGCTGAAAATGTTCTCATTAATGAAAAATGTGTTTGTATCATTGATTTTGGAGATATTTTGTTACAATAGGTTACATTTTCATAATTTCTTGCCTCAAATAGAGCAAGAAATGAAGAGAAAGAAATTACATGGCTGACATAGCATATGGTTGGAAAGATGATTTAGGGATCTTTCAAGTGTATTGGAAATCAATCTTTGTTTTGATTAAAGGTGTGTGAATAGTTTTAGAGCACACTAAGGCCATAGGGGTCCTAGAGCCTAGGTGCAAAGCACAGGTGTGAGCCACAATACTTTCTACGTAGTATTAAAGAATCCAAGGGTGACTCATTACTCTTTTATGTTTAAATTTCCATGAAAAAGAATTTTAAGATGAAGAACATGTTATGAAGCCATAATCATCGTACTTACATATTTGTTTACTTCAAGCTTTATCATAACTATCCTTCAACTGTTGCACCCACTTGCACCTTTGTATTTCAATTTTGATATCTTGATGGGTTTCTTTATAAGGTTTCATCTTATGATGATTACTACTAACACGAAGGTTGTGTTGTATGTTGATCAAGAGTTATTGGATCTTATCTCAATGGGCAGGTCCTGGTGCTACCATTGGCGGTATGTGTGCAACGCGCTGCTCTGGTTCATTAGCTGTGAGGTTGGTACCCCATTCATTTATGCTTTGAGTAGTTGACTTATCAGCTGTGAAGCTCCAATAATTGAGAGTAAAAAATTTAGGTAAATAAAACTCTCTGATGAAGAACAGGATATTAATGGCTCATATAATTCTCCCTGCCCAACAGGCAAGCAGTGTACATATGTTGCCTGACTTACAGAGTGAATTACTTTTCTAGGCAGGCTGCTCTATGACACGAAGCTGAAGGACTATCTTAGACTTGTTCTTTCCAACTTAAAATATAATATTAGGAAAATTAAATTTAATACTAAGAGCTAAGTATCCTTGTATGTTTTTGTCTTGGTGACCTTGTTAAATATTTTTGTGGTCACTACTAGTAGATTGATTTACGACAAGACTATTTGTAGTTTGCATCCTGTAACTGGAGCTAACACCCAGTGTAAAATGATATGATGCTGAGTATGTTTCAGGGTTCTACTCCCTAGGCTTACTGTGTTACTTCAATCTGACCCCTTCAACCAATATGGTGATTGACAGCATCAATTCAGGCATTTATGTACAGTATATTTTCTTTTTAGTCTTTTAGGGTTAGCTAACTTAGCTTTACTACTTAAAATTTGAATCTGATATAGCATATAGGTGTTTATTTGCTATTGTCTTTGGGTAGTACTGGTACTCTTCTTGCGAGTATGTTCATTTCGTACAATGTTCTTTTCATTGCCTATATCTGCAGCATGAAATGTTTAAGTAGGTGATTCAATGTTTTTTATGCAGTTAGAGCATAAATGTTGATGGCATTTTTTCTTAGCATGTAGGTATGGAACAATGCGTGAAAATGTCATCAATCTGAAGGTTTGTTGTCCGTCTTTCTTATCTTGTGCTCTATATGTTTTTGAAGATAACAAAATCTTAAGAAATATATATATTTTTCATGCTGTGTAGGTTGTCTTAGCAAATGGTGATGTTGTCAAGACTGGAAATCGTGCCCGAAAGAGTGCAGCAGGGTTTGTTTTTCAATTTGATTTAAGTTGTTAAGTTTGAAATCTATTTCCCATTTGTAAGGGTACTTTATTGCAAACAAATGAGAAGATTGTTCCTTACAGGTAAACAAAAAGATTGAGTTATCAGTTCATATTGCCTTTATTTTTTCCACTAAATGCTCAAGGGAAAGCATCCCTGGTCCCTGGAAGACTGATAGAAGATATTCGTAGAGGATACCTTATTTTATACAAACTCTCTAGATGAACAAGGTTCTTAAAGATATGACATCACTCACCTAACTCAGTACCACTCCTGCCGTATATGGCTGATGTCTCTCTTTCCTTGCGAAGTTGCTATCTGACAACTCAAGTTTCCTTTCTGACTCATGAGTCTCACAAAACACTTATCAAAAAAGTCTATAGACTACATAGAACTCAGTGACTCATAAAGTTCACCACATTCATGAGACAACTAGAATAGCAAAAGACCGGACAAAATTGGAAGAGATGCTCAGCATTTAAGGAATATTGTGACCCGTTGAACAAATTTTAGGAGAAAGAACTTTACAAGTCTTCTTTTCTCTGTGACTTATTGGTGTTTGTTGAAATATTGAGTCAAGATTGAAGCCTTCATCTTAGACAGGACTCCTGCCTTCCTATGAATTTATTAGGGTGAAATAGATGGTTGTAGTAGTTTTCCAACATGAAAGGAAGGCTTAAGAAAAGAGCAAAGCAAATTTTCAATAATAATACTGTCAAAATATGCAAGGATTAATAATTATAGGAATGGCAACTACGTGGTTTTACTTCCAAAATCTGGTCGGAAAGAGTGAAATGCTAATGGACAGCAACACTATCAAAGGATTAGAACTGAATAACAGGCAGATCAAGAAGTCTATTGTAGCTATATACTGGACAGAAAACGTCAGACACTATTCTTAGATCCAACTAATGAATGAAGTTGTGGATGTACCTGAGATAGAAATTTTTGCCTGAGTTGGGATGGGCATCAAGTTGATTGGTTATATCGAATACTGAGGATGAGCTTAGTTCTTTCAGAATTATACTTTGAAGACACTACTCTGAAGGAAGAGTGTAATCAAAGCAGCTCCATGGTGATAGCAAAGTAGCAAGTAGCATTAAGAGTTTTTTTTTTTTTTTTTTTTTTTTTTTTTTTTTTTTTTTTTTTTTTTTTTTTTTTGGAAGACCCAAAATCCTTACCTTTTCATTTCTTAAGCAGATTTGAGAAGATTAAAAAGAAGAATTGTTATATGATTGTATGGAAAAAAGTTCCATAGTTAATGTGTCACAAATGAATTATGTAAGAATGAGATTTAAGTAAGGACATAGAATCTTTCATGAAGGAGAATTACAGTGATCCTCCAGTATTTGTGGCTTACATTTTGGTTGGATCAAAAGGATGTTGTAGAGCAGTAGAGATGGGTAGAACTACATTTTGAGTTGTTGAACGGGCTGGGCGTGTTTTTATTGGTGGTTAGGAGGTGAATTAGTGCACTTAAGCTCTTTACCTCACAGACAAAACAACTGAATAGTGGATACAGAAATACGGATCTTGAGAACAGAATGGGTAATATAAAGAAGTTGATGCACATAATTACTCATTCTTACATCTTTAAAAGTTCCTAGTAAAGCAGTTTTACCAGGATTTATGTTTTGATCATGGATCTAGAAGAGACTTTGGATATGTTTTATTTGTAATTGTTTCTGCAGTAATGCAATTTAAGCATGTCATTTTATGGAAAAACCCCAATTAAGATTATCGAGCCACCAGTTAGGTTAAGTTGCTAATGTAAAATCTACTTATTTAATAAAAAATGGGCGAAATTCCGTGTTTTGACTTTTTAGATATTTATAATTGATTCAGGGGTCATCTTATTCATGATTTTATCCATCTCAAAGTTCATCATTTGTTTCTCTTTCTCTTATGCATTTTGCTCGACTTGTAACAGTTGTAACCTTGTAAATGTTTAAATGATGACATTAAGTTTCCTCAATGCTTACTTGTCAGGTATGATTTGACCCGGCTAGTCATTGGAAGTGAAGGAACCTTGGGTGTGATTACAGAAGTTACTCTACGCCTTCAGAAAATCCCTCAGTACTCAGTAGTATGTACTTGCTAGCTTTAACAAGTTTTTTTTTTTCCTTCGGTTTTTGTTGAATTGTTGACTGTGCTATATTTCCTCCATATGAGAAAGGAAATTCACTGTTCTATTCTGGGATCCAGATTGGATGTACTAGCTAAAATGTGAACAATTTTTCTCACTTTAAATCACATTGAATTTGAAGTCAAATGAATTTTCTTGTACTGTGGGAAATGTCAATGTGGACATTCTATGTGGGATAAAGGGATTTAAAATATATTTTGTGTTCCTGATCTTGTCCTCTAATTACTTCATTTGAATTTGTAAGTTGCAACATTTTCTTGTAAACTACTTTAAGCCGCAAAAGTCTTTTAACTTATGTACAGGCTGCGAGGTATGTACAGGTTGAACACAACTTGTTAGTGTAGACTGACTGTGATGTGATATGTACAGGTTGCGAGATGTAACTTTCCTTCAATTAAGGATGCTGCTGATGTTGCTATTGCCACTATGATGTCTGGAATACAGGTAATGAGGAGGTTTGTGTTGCACTATATATTTGTTTCATCATTTCTTAACTGATTGAGTGTTTGTAAAATTTTAATTCATGTACGGAGATTGCTTTTAAGTTACTATCAGATTTCCAGCCATGTCCTTGTAACTGAAACGCCATTAAAAAGCTTTGTTTGAAAGCCCCTTTAATTTTAAAACACTGGCTCAACTCTTAATGATCCAAGGCTTATTTCCTTTTATAATCTTTCGAATTAACATGTGCCATTTTCTTTTTGGATAATTTGTGGCTATGAATATTCTAATATTTTAATTTTATTATGATAAATTGACACGACCACATTAAGTAATTCTTGGTTGTCAAAATTCATATGCATTCTTGGTTTTCAAAGTCTACTCACAATATTATCTCATTAACCAGGTATCCAGGGTAGAACTTATGGATGAGGTTCAAGTAAAGGCAATAAATATTGCTAATGGATCAAATTTGCCTGAAACACCTACTTTATTATTTGAATTTGTCGGAACAGGTTAATTGCACTCTCTCTTCATGATCTGGGTTCTGATATTTGCTTTGAGTTTTCATGTAATAATTGTAGAATCTAGTAGTGTTCATTATTAGCTCAAAATGTGACACTCATATTTATACTTCATTTGTTTTTTGTTTGCAATTTTGCAATGTGGGGGGAGGGGGATATACTTTTAACCAAACAAAGTAATATTGCAATTATTTAGCAACTTCCCAATAAAGAATCTGTTGTGATTAAAAGAGGACAGAGGAAGTGTACCGCAGTAGAGCTGCAATTTGTATGATACTATGGTTTTACTCCTCTAAGATAAATTCCATCCCTTTCTTTATGTGGGTTGAGATTATGTATTTCCTAGAAATGCCTTGTAGAAATATTAAAATTTACTATAAAGTGTTTTTTTTTTGTTTTGTTTTGTTTTATTTTTTTTAAACTTAAAAGGAAAACCAAAGTGTCGGGTAACTATATAGGCATGCGTTTGAGCAGATTTAATGACCTGGAGGAAATGAATACTTAAAGCTTTCTGATCCTGATTCTATGTATGTCTGTGTTTGAGCAGATTTAATGACCTGAATGAAATGAAAACTTAAAGCTTTAATTGTGAATATGTTTGACTATGCTATTTCTGATATGGATTTTGTATAAAGTAACCATGGAGCTTGCCTGATAGAAGTCACTTGCAACTCATTGCTCACAAAGTCCGAGATTGGGGGCAGGTTGTTCTGAAGGATATAAATGTGTGTCTGTGTTGGTGTCCATGCTTGGGCTTCTGGTTGTAAATCAGGAGGGGTATATGTTGTTTTGTTTTCCTGAAAGTCATATATAATTGTTTGCTGGTGATTTTTGTTGGCGGGGGAGAGGTAGGATGGGGGTAGGACCTAAGAAAGCATCAAGGTCTAATGCTTACTCGTATTATGTCAACGAATCTATTTTATATTGTAGATTGCATTTATCAGTTGCTGAATGATAATATTTTCTCTTCCTCTTTTTGCAGAAGCATATTCACGTGAACAGACAAGACTGGTCCAGAAGATCGCTTCTGAGCATAATGGTTCGGATTTTGTTTTTGCAGAAGAGCCTGAAGCTAAAAAGGAGCTCTGGAAGGTAATTTGGCTATTTAGACTTCTCGTATCTATCTATCTATGTTGAAGAGAACAGGGCCTTAGTAAGCTTTGGAATTGGTTTCTATTTCCATGAATGTTATTCTTCTTTCCCCTCCTCAAAGAGGAAAAAAGGAAGATGAGTGAAGACATGAAGAGAAAACTATTGAGAAGGGGAAAAAAAAAAAAAAAAAAAAAGGTGACAATATAAACCTTTTTTGCTCTGCATTATTATTTGCAGATGAGGAAGGAAGCTCTCTGGGCGTGTTTTGCAATGGAACCTGAATATGAAGCAATGATTTCGGTCAGTTGATTATTTCTTTCCAGTTCCACCTGGTTCAGATTTTATTTTATTTTTTTAATTTTTTTTTTTCGTGTGTGTTGGGTGGCATTTTTTGGAGGACTTTGTCATTTTGCAGCTCAAGCACTGTTTATGTTCCCTAATCCCATTGATCCTGATTATAGCAAATTTAGAAATGAGAACATCTTTTCCACCTTTATTGTCTATGTATCCTCTTGTTGTGTTATGTGTTATGAGGTTAACCAATGTTGATATTAGTAGACTATCAAATGATTTTTGAACTTTTATTTATAATTTTATCATTTATCTATTCTTGTTGCACACTTTATATATTGAAGCAGCATGTTCTTGTAGCTAATTCAATGTGCTGGATTGTTTAATTAAAGCTTTCATCTTAGTCATGAACTTTGTCCCACCAGGATGTTTGTGTGCCTTTGTCTCAACTTGCTGAGTTAATATCAAAGTCCAAAGAGGTCCTGGATGCATCTCCATTGATCTGGTAAATTTTTTTCCCCATTAGCTTTCTGCATGCTTAGAATGCTGTAACTTAGAAGTGAACTGCCAAATTTCTGTTAGTATTTTTTTTCTTTGTTCTTTTAAATATTATTATTGGCAATGAAAACAGTGCAGTGGTTGCCCATGCCGGTGATGGGAACTTTCATACCTTGATCTTATTTGATCCTAACAACGAAGAGCACAGAAAAGAAGCTGAAAGGCTAAATCATTTCATGGTCCAGGCAGCCTTGTCAATGGAAGGTATCCTTCTGAGTCTTGATGACACTTTACAAGTTAAACCCTTATGGCCAACATTATGAGAATCCCAACACACCCCCCCCCCCTCTTATTTTTTCCCAGCTTCCTCTTTGATCATAAAATTTCTTTTGGAGGTTCTATGACTAGCGCCAAATCCTATGGACTCTAGTAATTTCTAGTGTAATATGTTAATTATGCTGGTTCTTCCAATTGGGCAGGAACATGTACCGGAGAACATGGAGTTGGTACTGGAAAAATGAAGGTATTGCACTGAATTCTTTTGATTTAGTTTAGTCTAGCATAATTTGTAAAAATATGATTTCTACACGCTTGCTAATAATTTTGTCCAAGCTAGAATGTAGATTTTGGATCCCCATGTATTTATTGACCAGATTCCCTGAATAGTATTGTCTTTTGACTTCTCATTCATTCATTCATTCTTGCAAGACAAACTTTTCAAAACCTTCTAGATTTACTAGCTAGATTGTTATACGAATGCAGTGTTTGATGTCCATTCTTATATCTGTTTTTTCCTTTCTTTGTTTCAGTACCTGGAACAAGAACTGGGGATAGAAAATTTGAAGACAATGAAAAGCATAAAAGCAGCTATGGATCCCAACAATATTATGAATCCTGGAAAGCTGATCCCTCCCCATGTCTGTTTCTAAAATCGCGTTTTGGCCCAACCTCGGCCCCTACCAATTGGCGTAGGTGTATCATCTTTATAGTTTGTCTGCAGCCAATGTTTGCTGTACTATTGTAAACTTTGGAGTTCATGCTACCATTCAGTGCTGATATCTTCTTCAAATCGTTGGTGTTAAAGACTTTCGAATTTCAATAACCACTGAAAAATAAAAAGAGCTGTATCTGAAAGTTTTGTAAACCAAAGTTACTAGTTTCCCAAAGATTAAAAGGAATACTACCCAATAAATAGGTATAGAGCAGCTCATAACTTGGCTCTTCATATCAGTGATATCACCAATTGAAATCCATAGGTATACTCTCTTGTGCAAAAAATTATAGGCCTTGTTTGGCAAATGGCTGTTGGCAGTTGGCTGGTTCACTTGGCTTGCTTGACCAGCTGGAATGATTGGCTGTTTATAATGGCTTTTGAAATTGGCTGTTTTGGCTGTTTAAGCTGACTGTTTATAGAAGTGTTTGGTAAATTTAGTTGTTGGCTATCGGATGTTTATTAGATAATTTGTTGACCAACAAGCCAAAAGCCAACAAAAAAAAAGCTACTCGTAGCAGCTTTTTCATTTTGACTTAAAAGCCAGCTTTTTTGCTAAGTGAAAAGTCAATTATCAAACACTTTTTTTGACTGTTTGACCACAAAAAAGTTAAAAGCTAACCAAAAAGCCATTTACCAAACATGGCCACAATCGTGCTATTACAATCAAAGAATGCCACAATTTTTTATTTGTATATGTTCATTCTTCATCAACTATCTTCAAAAGTTCGCCCAAAAGGATGACAATCATTGTTCTAGTATGTAATTTGGTGTTTGACATATTTATCTACGCAAGTACGAAACATAACAAAGAAAAAAGGGGTGGGGGGAGGGGCGCGAAAGAAAGAAACTTAATCACTTTGAAGATATTGCAAATGTATACGGGGCGAAAATTATTTAGCAAAGTATGATTATTTCCCTGCAAAGATGAATCGCTTGATGAGTTGAGAAAGTTGGTTAGAGACAGGGGAGCAAGGATTATGTGTGAGAAAACCATGGTGTTGGCTAATCCTGGGCACCGTGCCGGGCCGTGCCGCCGCGGGCCGTGCCTGGCGGGCCACGAGCTGGTTCGTGCCGTGCCGGCGGGCCCAGGATTTCGTGCCGTGCCGTGCCGGCCATTTTCACAGGCCAGCCCACGGCACGACACGGCCCTCGTGCCTGGCGGGCTCGTGCCGTGCCGGCCACGTGCCGGCCTGCGGGCTGGTGCAGTTTTCAAATAATTTTTTTTTTTTTAATATATGACAACATTATAAATTAATAAGTTTATAATTTATATAAGTTATAAAATTATAATTATAAGTTTTATAAGGTTATAACTTATAAGTTTATAACTTATAAGTTATTAAGTTATGAATTTTATAATTATAAGTTGAATATTTATGTTTTATAATTTGTATATTCAATATTTATATTTATATATTTACTTTATACTATTACTTTAAAATTTAATGTTTATGATTTATTAGTAATTGGTATAATTTTATTTTTTTTTAATATGAATTTACAAATTGTAACAAAACGGGGAAAAAAGGCAAATTGGACTTCGGATGTGAATAATGCGTACTTTATATTATTATTAATTGAGTTGAGAAAATTGTACAATGATAACAATGATAAAAATCATACAATGATGGTATTAAACAAAAATTGGAAAATGATAAAATTGATATTTTTAAAATCGTACAATATACAATAATTGTCTATTCTTCTTCTCCTTCTTCTTGCTCGTCTTCGTCTTCGTCTTCGTCTTCGCCTTCGCCTTCAAGGTCATCGGCTAGTTGCATAGATTGGGAACTAGCCGAACCCGAACCGGAAGCGGAGGTTCCTTATTCGTTGTCGTTGTGGTCGTAAGAACGGTCTTGTGAGCGATTTTCCGCATCCAACCAATCTTTGAAACACACGCACATTTCTAGTGTTTCGGGTTTTAGACTTGTTCTTCTATCGTCTAAAACCCTTCCGGATGCGCTGAAAGCTCGTTCGGAGGCGACGGAGGAAACTTGGATAGCAAGAATGTCTCGTGCCATTGCCGCCAAAGTTGGATGCTTCGAGCTTTGTTGTTTCCACCATGCAAGGAGGTCGAGGCTGTTTATCTCATCGTCGTCCATGCCTTTGGTGAAGTCGTAACTCAGGTACATCTGCAACTCCGAGACGTCGCTTTGCGTTCTCCTGATTGATGAATCACCTGAAAACCTTGAAATCAAGTTAGTAGCTTGTGAAAATAAATGTTTGGCCTTCTTACTTACGTTTTTGGATGGTTGGGAAGGCCCTGAGCGAGGAACGGTGCCATATTTGGCTTCATAGACTCTATATAAAGCAAAAAACTGATCCTTCACATTAGTCTTATAGTTTTCTACATCATCGTCAAGAAACATGCATTGAAAGTAAATGTCAACTAACATAAATGTGTTTTCATACTTTTGCCTAGGATCTAATATGGAAGCAAAAATATAAATCAAAGGAATCTCACTATAATATTTACGCCACTTTTTTTCCATTGCTGGAAGATACTGATCATAATCACTTTGATGGCAATGATCAGCGAAAAGTTGGGCGAGTAAGCATGCATTAGAAAGAAAGTTTTGAGCACAAGGATTGTAAACAGTAGAAAAACAATACGTCATCTTATATAATAACTGTAAAAATTGCATATATCTTTCACAGTTATTCCAATCATCATCATACAAAGCATTTTGTGGAAATTTTTGGTTGTAAAATAATGTTAACGGGCCCTTGTACTCAATTGCCTTTGTTAACATGTCATAGGTGGAATTCCACCTAGTTGGGCAATCGGTTCTAATTTTTATTACCCTTATCTTTTGTTGTTTTAGAAAACTCTTCCATTCTTGGTATCTCATGTTAGAGCTATTAATAGACATAATAGCATCTCTGATTTTGCTGTAGTATGGGCCAATTGCCCGAACTCCATCATGTACACATAAGTTAAGTACATGGCAAACACATCTAGTATGAAGAGTTTCACCGTCTAATAGTATATCGGTTAAGTTTTGTTTGATAAGATTAGCTGTGTATGTCATAGAAGTTGCATTATCAAAAGTCATAGACATCATTTTATCTCAAAGGTTGTATTCGTCTATTGCTTGCATTAAATGGTGAGCAATGTTAATGCCGGTGTGTGGGTATTCCAGCATTTTGAAATGTATTATTCTTTTTTGTAACATCCATTGATCATCTACCCAATGGCAAGTCACACATAAATAGTGATATTTATAACCACTATCCAAAGAATCGGCTGTTAAAGATACTCTACAGTTAAGGTTACTCAATTCGGCTTGTAACCGGACTTTGTACTCTAGGAAATTTTTCATTGCGGCAGAACGAACGGTTTTCCTAGAGATTCTTTTATGTTGGGGTTGTAGTGCTTTGTTAATGTAGGTGTTGAATGCGTCACTTTCCGAGAAAAGAAAAGGTTGTTCGGCGTGTACTATCATTTTTCCTAGTTCATCCCTATCCCTCTCATAGTTGTATGTAAAGCCGTATGGATGGAATTGGGAAATTTTGGGCTGGGTTGGATCACTAGCTGGTTTTGCACAAGCTTTCATGTGTCTAGATAAGTGTCCCGTCCCGTTTTTGGTAACTGCCGTGAATACACTATTACATGTTTTACATTTTGCCCATTGTTCACCATCTTTACTTAGGACAAAATAACGCCATACCTCACTCCTTCGGTTTTTCAAAAGTAGCATCTCAGTTTCGGTTAACCATTCATGATGTGTGTATTGGTTAGTAGGGGGACTAGTGGGAGTGGCAGTAGAAGGGGTAGTAGAACCGGAGGGAATTCGGGTACTTTCTTGGCTACCTTGGCTAGAACAATAGTTTTGTTGATTACCGATATAATTAGGTGGAAATTGGTATGGTGGTAGTGGAAATTGGTTTAGTGGTGGTGCTGGAAATCCCGACGTATTATATGGCTCATAGCCCGGGGGGAAGTAAATGGGGTCATTGGTTTGACTCGTAATTTGGGGGCTCGTTGTATTTGGTGGTTCCCTAGAACTACTACTACGGATAAGTCGGCCTTTCCCCCTAGACCTAGATGATGGGTTGTTCGATGCCATAATTAACAATTAATTTTTTAATAAAAAGTGGTTAACTATAATAATAATAATTAATAACAACAATTTTAACAATAAAAATATCAATAATAATAATTAATAACAACAACTATAACAATAACAATAACAACAAAAATAAATAATAACAACAATTGTAACAATAATAATAATTAATAACAACAATTATAACAACAACAATAACAATTAACAACAATAATAATTAAACAAGATTATTCTAATAATAACAATAAAACAATAATAAATTTAAGATTAGTTTAGATCTTACAACCGTGCTTCAACGCTCCACTAATTACGATTACGAACTTTTTAATTTTTTCCGATATTAGGAAAATAATTAGAGAATTTAAGAGAATAATTAGAGAATTTAAGAAAATAAGGATTATTAGAGATTTAGAGAATATAAGAGATAAGAAGAAGAGATTGTGATTTGGGAATGAAATGGAGGTGAGTATTTATAGAATTTTTGGGGAGCAAATTGGCAAAAAACTAGCCGTTTTTTTGGCTTATTAAGGAGCTAGAATAAACGGTAACATTATCGTTGGCCCGCGGGCCGTTCCGGGCCGTGCCTACGGGCCTGCACGACGGGCCAGCACGGCGGGCCATGGTCGTGCTCGTGCCGGGCCGTGCCTGGGAATTCTCAACCCTGTCCGTGGCACGGGAGTTGAACTTCGTGTCGTGCCGTGCTTGAATTCGGGCCGTGCCGGGCTGCGCCGAACGGCGGGCCGTGTCGGGCGGCACGCGGGCCAACCCGGCCCGTGCCCAGGTTTAGTGTTGGCCTTCAAATTCAACATAAGTAATGTCTTTGCCAAGCTCCTTTAACCTCTTTGCATAGTCCTCCACCCTATCTTTCATAATTTCTTTGCCACCCACTATAATAAGCATTGGATCAAGGGATACCAATTCTAGATTTGGACTAGATGGTCCAAATGGATTTGCTATTGGATGATCTCTATCTTCTCCTTTAGGTAGAGATAGTCTCCAAAACCTAAAAAGAGAATGAAGAAAAAAAAGTTTAGTTCTTTTGGCCTTTTGGGTAAAAACGCATAACTTAGTTAAAATACAAATACATTTAGGATAATGTATAAGATGATCATTACTCCATATTCTACGGGAAACAAGTACAAGAGTTATGGTTATTTGGACAAGTAACTAGATGATTTTATTCATTCAAAACTCAAAAGGTATTAGATTAGCTAGGTCTTCTAAGGGTGGATTTTAAGATATACATAGTAAAAAATAAAAAAATAAAAATGGTGTTCATTACCTTCTGAAAGTAGAGAAAACTTTGCTATCATGAACATCCTATCAAAATTTTAGATAACAAATTACTCTTTTTTTAGAAAGGAAAAATTGGTAAAAATAATCTCAACTTTCACATATTCGCTTTAAATAATCTCAACTTTGGATTATTTTTAAATAATCTCAACTTTGGGGTCATCCGCTCAAAACAGTCCTAAGTGACCGGTGACCGGTTAAAGAGGTAAAGTTTTTTTTTGTGACACGTGTCACCGTGTGATTAGCTAAAAAAAATTAAAACAAAAAACATCATCCCCAACCCACGACAACCCCCACCACCAGCCTTCTCCCACGGCCAGCCCAAGTTCCCCCACCCCAAACCGTCGCGCCCAACCCCCTCCCCCGCGCCGAAACTCCCCTTCTCCAAAATTCACCAAACTCGCCCACCCTAAAACCCACGAAAAATCTAAAAATGACCTCCCCGCCACAAAAGAAAAAAAACCCCAAACGGTGGGCGAGTTTGGTGGTTTTTGGGGAAAGGGAGCTGACAGAGGGGATAGGAGGAGCTGCCGGTGAGGGGGAGGCGGTTTTGGCCGTCTTAGGGGTGGAGGAGGGGGTCCCAGCCACCGTAGTGGTGGTGGCGAAGGTGGTTCGTGGGTGGAGCATGGAGGCTGGCAGCTTTTCTTTCTTTTTTTTTAAGTTTTTTTTTAAAAAAAAAATTATGTAAGTTTTTATTTTTTATTTTTTTATGTTTCAACCAATCACATGGTGACACGTGTCACCTTCACCTATTATAACAGGTTAGTAACCGATTAGGGACTGTTTTGAGCGAATACACCCCAAAGTTGAGATTATTTAATAAAAATCCAAAATTGGGATTATTTGAAACAAATACGTGAAAGTTGGGATTATTTTTAGCAATTTTTTCTTTTAGAAATTAATTGTCATATTGTCTCAATTCCTCGATACTAAAAATGATATTTTGATATTCTCACTAACCAATCTTTTTGGTAACCAAATAAATGGTAAAATTCAACAAATGTCAATATAATCTTAGGCCACCGCCCACCGAGCCCGAGCCCGCATCCATCATTGAAAGAGACAAATTACTAACATACAAAATCATTACAAAATGAGAGTGAGGGATAGCTCAAGTGGTTAGGTTTTCCTTCCAGTCTCATGAGATCTTGAGATTTATTCTCATCACCTGCCCATGTGGCTCTCTAAACACCAAAATCATTACAAAATGATTTTTTTTAGCTTATAATATGATACTTCCTCCGTATTTTATTACCTGCTCGGCGGCTGCTCCACTTTTCTTTTGCGGCCGTATTTTATTATTTGCTCCATTTTTTTTTGGATACATTTTATAATATTTTACTAATTTCTTCTCTCCTAGTGGACCCCAACTATCATATTTTAATATTTTCAAATTCTCTTTCCTCTCAACTGTCATACTTTATTCTTTCACCAATCTCACTTCCTTCGTGTTTTATTACTTTCTACTATTTCTCCTAAGACAAACATTTAAAAAAATCGGATGTACAAATAAAATATTGTACATCCGCTATAAAGTTACCTTAAAATGATCAAAAGTTACCCTGTAATGAATGAAAGTTAGTCTGTAATGAAAGAAAGTTACCCAAATATAAATAAAAGCTATTTATGCTATATTGATAAAAGTTACCTAAAAAGTCTAAAAGTTATCCTAAATTCAATAAAAGTTACCTCGATGTATACAAAAGTTTTTGTTCTCCTAAAACTCCGCGCATGAAAAAATGAAGCAAGTAATAAAATACGGAGGGTGTAATGGGATAAACCTTATAAAATAATTTATATTGCCTTTATTCTCCAATGAAGATCATACACGTTATGGACATTTTTTTTTTCTTTTTATAAAGATATTGGACATTACGTATTAAGAGTTCCTAATTTGCCAAATGATCTACTGCATTTATTTGTCATCACATGCCAAAAGCCTAAGCATTAGCCAATGAATCAATTTACATATTAAACCAATTATTTCTGCCTTTTGTGATATTATGAATCAGCAAATCATGAGATTATTAATTTGTTATCAACCTAAGACGATGTTTGCAACTGATTCGTTGAAACAAGTACTATTTCTTGTACTGTTGAGCGATTTCATCGGGTCATAAAAGATACAAGTCCATTATCTAATTTTGGCAACTCATACTATTACCTCCATTGCAATATTGTCTATAATCTATAAAAAAAAATAAAAAATAAAAAAATATTGATATTTGGAACCTTTCAAATTTTTTTTGGTATTCTTATCGTAATTACTACTACTCCGTATTAAAATATATATATATATATATATATATATATTAAAAGCTAAGGCGTTCGATAAAAAGCTTGATGGGATAAAAATTAGCTTATTTCATCAATATTAGTTGATGATAATTAAATAAACTAATTGGAGTGTTTGGAGGTGAGCTTATTCCACCAAATAAGCTCATTTTGAATAAGCTCCTTGGAGGAGCTTCTTCATTAGCTTATTCAAGTATTTTAAAGTAGTGAAGTTAAAATCATACTTCCATCCCATCCAAAATCCTACCTCAACTACCTAATCTCATTCAATGTCCTTATTGGTCATTTTGCATACTCCAACATCTTAAACAATCAGCTATCTATTTACTAAGCATTTTATAAAATCGACAAGTCCATTTACTACAATCAGATAATAAAAAATCAGTTAATATGATCAATTTCAACTTTTTACCAAACACGGTATCTTAAAATTTGCAAATTGTGAATAAATTTGTTTGATTATTGATATATACAGTATTAATATGACCCCTTTTTTAATAAAAAAAAAAAAAAAAAAAAAAAAAAAAAAAAAAAAAAACCGTTCTCATTTGAAAAAAAAATTAAAAAGATCTCCACATCTCTCATTGACGTGAGCCAGTGACAAAAAATATTTGGATGAGGTGGAAGATTTCGAATTTGTATTTAATTCTAAACAAATGTGAAATACGTTTTATTTTATGTTATTTTAGGAAATGTTAAATACGTTTTAAGGCTACAATACTTCATAATACTGTGTTGTATTGTTGATGACGTTAACAACTAACAAGTGATAATGATAACTAAATTTTTTTAAGAATGGAGTCATCGTTATTTTAGATGGAAAAAAGTTTTGAAAATGACTACAGATATATATTTCTAATTGTGGTAGGCCTCAAACTTAGCTATTTTGCATATATTATGCGATATAAAAAGTTTTTTTCCAAAAAATAATTCAATTCTATATATTACGTCTCAATAATTGTTCGTACTCTAAATTGTTCTAAAATTAGTAAGTTAAACTTAAAAATAATAAAAAAAAATAAATAAATAAAAAAAAATTATATGAAAAATTGTGAATGTCGTGTGATCAAGGTTTAGAGAGATTAGGTGTAGATAGTGAATATTTAGAAAATAAAGGAAGTATTTACTTTAATTTTAAAATTAGATACTGTAATTAACTTAAATACTCTTACAAAAATAAAAAATTAATAATAAAAAAACCTTGAATACAACAATATGTAGTTGGAAGTTTGATTTTTTTTTCAATATCAATCGAAGATTTGTGAGGATTAATTATATTGATAGAATCACACCTTAATTACTAAAACAATTATTCTTCATCTTAAAAGTAACAATTATGATTTGGATTCTAAATATTTTAAATTGAATATCATATGCATGATTGTGAAATATTGTACATATTCTTATTTTGTCATATGACATCAAATACAATTGTCCATACTATTAGATCATCTTGATAATTTATAAACTCCTCCATCATACAGAGTTCTTATTAATTAATTAAAATAAGAACAAGTTTTTCTCCTTTCGCTGGTGGATTATATCACTCATCTTTACAATAAGCACATATAAAATATAATCAAGATTACGTGTTTGAAAAAGAAGTTAATCAACCATTGATCAATTAAAAATTTAACATATGACAAGCTAAGTCTAATGACAAATTAACTTGTTATGCAAAAAAAAAAAAAAAAAAATGAAAATAAAAATAATAAATAAAATAAAATTGATGAAAGGAAAATTACCTATCAAGGGAGTCCAAGGTAAGAACGGGTTCAGGAGGACCATTAGCCTCGGATACGGTCCTAAGAGACCCGCCGAAAAATGGAGCTAAAAGCACATAGCCGCAAACCTGGACCGGTGATAATTCGGGAGATCCGGGTCCTAAACGGACTGCCAAATGATGGGCAATATTACCACCCGAAGAGTCTCCGATAATGAACACCTTTTCAAAGTCTACTCCATCTTCTACCAATTTAATGCACGTATTTTGATCGTTTTGATTGTAATCTTTTCTAGGGTTACCCTCTTCTCTTCGTTTAGCCTGTAATTGTAGCCATTTTATTGCATTTAATCCATCTTCTATTGCTGCTGGTAGCTTGTGTTCTGGTGCCAATCTGCTTGCATTTAAAATAATAAATATCGTTTCAAAAAATAATTATCATACTTCCTAATAATAAATTAGGAATAATAATTGATGATCAAGTTTCATATACCCTCCATCCCTGAAAGATATTTATGTTTGATGATTTTACACCGTTGAAAGTAAGATAGTTTGAATATCAATGATTAGTTGTCATATATTATCAAGTATTAAAACGTTAAGTCGACATTGGAAATAGATATATTTACGTTGGGGGTAGATAAATAATATTGTATATAGCAATAGTTGCTTTGGGAGAGGTAAATTTTGTGATAGGTGGGAAAATTAAAATGAAAGTAGGTATGTATGAGGGAAAATGTGTAAAATAAATAAATAAATAAAAATTATTTTAATCTAAGAAATAACTAAAACATGACAAACAAAGAAACATTAAAAAAAATGACATATGTAATCATTTTTCAAGAATGGAGGGAGTAATAAATCACAAATAAAATAATGATCAATTTTCCTGTTTGTCTTTTTTTTTTAACATAAATAATGATCAATTTTCCTAAATTACCCTATTTTCCGTGAATTGTTTGTCAAAAACTTTTTAGCATTCAAAATTTTCTCTTGACTTATTATCATACTTTTCCCAATCTTAAGGTTGACCAATAATATTTTTTTAAGTATTATCCCAAAGAATGGACAATAACTTAATATGAGTGATTAAAGAGAAGACTAAGACAACATTCAAATGGACCCCAATTTTTTCCTTTTTCGCTCGCTCATGCTAAATGGAGCATATCCCTTTCGAACCAAACTAAAAGCTTTTAGACAACGCACGTTTAACCTTGGCATAGTGTTTTCAAATATCGGAAATGAAATCAATTAGCCAGTTTCATTACCAATTGTTTGGTACGAGAAGTGGGGTGACACAATCAACTTCATGCATGGTGCTTAATTTATGTTTATTTTGTATCTATTTATTAGTAAAAATAATTAACCACTCATATATGTGTGGACGAAGGGAGGATATATAATATATTACCAAACAAAGAAAGTCCGCAACTTTACGATATAAAAGTCAAACACTTCATCATATGTTCGTGGATCGTGCAAAATTTAAGTGAATCGAACTTTTAAAATAGAGATAATATAGATGATAGAGGCCTTAGGATAACCGAAAAAAATAAAGCCGAGATGGCTAAAGAACCCAAAATTGATTGGAAAGTATTTGGCTTAAAGAGCATAATTGGCACTTGTTCTAAATGAAAATTGTGTTTATATGATTTGATAAAGTAGGCTAAGAAGCAAAGATTTTTGTTGAAGTTACGTTAGGGTAACTTATTGACATTGTTATGTTGAAGTTGCTAATTTATTATAGACTTTATAGTACATACAAAGGTAATAATATCTTATGTTTTCAAAATAATGCATTTGAGTTTTGACAAGCTCATCAAAATCATCCTATAATTACATATAAAAATCAAGTTTGCAAAAAGGCTATTTTTGTTTTTTAATTTTCTTTGGTATGAAGAACACCCACTGCAAAGTCATAAGGTGAAACCCCCACTAACTGCGTACACCAAGCATGAGTTGAAAAAATGATTTCAAAATCAAATAACACCAAGTATATATACACTTGTTGTATAAAAGACGTATGAATAAGCTAATACGAATGGAAAGAAAGTGGGTAGCTAACCTGTAGTCAGGTGCAATAACAAGAGCTTGAAGTTGAGAGGAAAGTCGAAGGCAGCAGTTATGACAGTTAGGCCAAGTGCGAGAGCCTAGACAGAAACCTCCTCCATGTATGTAATACAAAACTGGCAACTTTTTGCTCATGCTATTCTTATAACTAGGCTTATACACACGCAAATTAAGTTGGTTTTTCTCATCAAACAAACAATCTTCCCATTCAACTATACAATCTTCTCCGACTATTTCTTGGCTACTCTTATTATTGTTAAATTCTCCGAAATCTATATCGGAGACATTTGCCCTATATATCGACCCATCACTATATAACTGGAGGACTCCAAAGCAGTCTTCCACGACTTCTGCTAGGGATCCCATGACGCTCTCGTGTGTATGATCTATCGTATTATAAGTTTTGCTCACTACTCTCTCGCTCCTCTTTTGTTAGCTAGGGAGTTGAGTTTTATGAGATAATATGATATGACTTTTGTGGAAGGCCAAGCTATTTATAGACATTATATTGTGATGAGGGCATAGAAGTAAAAGTGTGTGATGGATATTAGTCCTCTTACATATTGATCCAATCCAATATTATAGAATATGAGCGTATTAGATGAACATTATTGGTAAGTCTATTTTGTTTTGTATACAATTATGGTCCCATCGACAAGTTGAATGCATGTATTAGAGTTGATAAGTACTATACATACATGAGCTATATATGAAATAAATATCACCCCTTTGTGGAGTGGCCCTTGCACTTAACTCGCCATGTTTAGGATGATGTATGATGTACCATGAGTAGCACTAGCTAGCTCTCTTTTTTGAATAAAATATGAATTGATGTTACGTCGTCGGAATACATTTGAATATTCTGAAGTATAATATTTATGTGTATGACCAGTCAGCAGAATTCGTTAGTTGTTTTAATTTATTGCGATGAGTTAGTAAATAATTTCAATTCAATATGATATAGTAACACTTACGTACGTACTTAAAGAATTACTGTAATGTACAAATACAATTAGCTTAGCTCGTGAAGTTGTTTAAAGTGTTATGTCAACCCCCATAACGAAAACAATATACATGGGTTGTTAAACTCTTAGATCATAATATTCCACATAATTTCAATTGTTGAATGGAATCCTAGATGTCATCTCAGTAATTAAATTAAATCACGTTTATATCATTGATAATTAAAACTCTCTTTGTAGCTACTCCGTATATATAGTACCGACCTCCAAGTGGCGAAAACACGTGATGATCGTACAAAATATACAGTGAAGTGGGCAATGTTAGTGAAAGTGCAATGCGGCGAACTATGCTTCTTTGGAACCTTTGCCTCTAGCCATTATATTTCGGAGGATTCATCTCATTCATACATTCTACATATATGTCCTCATCAAACCCAATTTCTACTTTTTTGACTCTCCCTAATAGTGGGCAGCCATTAAACCAAGGCCAAAAAGAATTGATAACGACTTATGGAAGATTGGAAGAAATTATAATATTTGTGACCCTCGAATAATTTCATCGGTTCAACAACAATGATAAAAATAATAATAATGATAATAATAGGCTAAGCCTTCCAATATCATTATTTCTTAAAAATAATTGAAAGGGACCTATCCTCCCTCCCACGGTTTTAGCCTTTCCTTGTAACCAAACGTTACTCTCTCTGTTATATTTAGTGCAATAAGTTGACCGACGCATTTGTTGATACGCATGCAACTTTGATAATTACTTAATATTTTATTAGTTTTTTTGTGTTTAGAGAGCCACAAGGGCAAATAATGAGAATCGATTCCAAGATCCCCTGAAATCGAGAGGGAAGCTCTAACCACTTGAGCTATCCCTCACTCTCATCATTACTTAATATAAATTACATAATATTAGTACTCCCTCAAGCTAAAGTTGAATTTGCACATCTTCAAGACACAATTTTGACCATCTTTAATGAGAGGTTAGTAAAATTTAAGAAAAGAATTAATTTATAAAAGTAGACATTATGACAAATCCAACAACATATTATATGATCATATTTATTTATTATATATTGGTAAAAAAATTAAGTCAATGATGACATATTAATTGTGGAAAATTTTAACTCTAGCTTAAAAAAAATATGATAGTAATATTCTATGTATATATTACGGAGGGAGTATATGATAGTAATATTCTTTATACATTCTGCAATAAGTCTTTTGTAAGGCGGGTGTATATTAATTTTATTGTAAGACGGTCAACTTGAGAGTAACTTTAACTATTTTTATGGTAACTTTAACCACTTAAAGGGTAACTTTTAATTTGTCGTTGTTTTGAATTTTATTTTAATGTTTAATTTCTTATAAATTCGTGATTAGATATTTTAAAGGCTAATATGATTAAGGAAAAATTGACAAGAATAATCCCAACTTTGCATCATTCGCCCAAAATAATCCCAACTTTCAATTATTTTTAATAATCCGAACTTTAATATCAATTTGCTTTTAATGGTCCCAAGTTACTTGTAACCTGTTGAGCAAGTAAAATTTTTTTTAAAGTCTAATGTACATGTGTCGCTACATGATTGGTCAAAATAAAGGAAAAATTGACAAGAACAATCCCAACTTTGCCTCATTCACCCAAAATAATCCCAACTTTCAATTATTTTTTAAAAATCTGAACTTTAATATCAATTTGCTTTTAATGGTCCCAAGTTAATTGTAACCTGTTGAGCAGGTAATTTTTTTTTTTAAGTCTAATGTACACGTGTCGCTACATGATTGGTCAAAATAAAGGAAAAATTGACAAGAATAATCCCAACTTTGCCTCATTCGCCCAAAATAATCCCAATTTTCAATTATTTTTTAATAATCCGAACTTTAATATCAATTTGCTTTTAATAGTCCCAAGTTACTTGTAACCTGTTGTGCAGGTAATTTTTTTTTATAAGTCTCATGTATACGTGTCGCTACATGATTGGTCAAAATAAGTTCAAATTTTATTTAGTTACTAATTAAATCTTAATATTTTTAACTACCTATTTAAAAAAAAAAAAAAAAGCGCCACAGCACCACCTGCCCTACCACCGCCCAGCCTAGGCAACCGTCACCCACACCACGCCGAGACCCGCTCCCCTGCACCGCCCCTGCCGTTGCCCTTCCCCTTAAACCACCAAAGACCCACCACGAAACCCTTTCCCTCACCCCCAAAATTCTAAAAAAAACCTTTCCCACCGCTTAAACCGCCCATCGCTCCTCCCCCGACCCTCGAAACCCCGCTTCGCTAAGGTTTCGAGGGTGGGCGAGGTGGAATTCAGGGGTATTTGCGACAGGAGATGTTTTTTTTTTGGGATTTCGGGGGTTTTGGGGTTGGGGACAATAACAGGTGGTAAGGGAAGGCGACGCCGTTGCCGGCGCGAGTGGGAGGGGCCCTTGGCAGCGCGGGAGTGTGGTGCTGGAGGGTGGCTGGAGGTGCTGGGGAGGGGTGGTGTATGGGTTTTAGTTGATTAATTGATTTTTTTTAATTTAAAATTTTGTTTTATTTTTTAAATTTTTATTTTTATTTTTTTGACCAATTCCGTCTTGACACGTGTCTGATAACTTGTTATAACAAGTTGGATGACCGGTTGGGACCATTAAAAGCAAATTGATATTAAAGTTCGGATTATTAAAAAATAATTGAAAGTTATGATTATTTTGGGCGAATGAGGCAAAGTTGAGATTTTTCTTGTCAATTTTTCCTATGATTAATCTAATATACTCCGTATTATAAGTTTTTTGTAAGATAAATATATTTTTAGAAAAATAATAACTTTTGTAGTATAAAAGGTAACTTTAAATAATTTTATGATAATTTTAACATATCTTATAATAAATTAACGCACGTCCGCCTTTTTAGAGAATTTGTGTACATTCTATATCATATATTAAATCAAAGTCACTTACTGAACAGTACACCGACTGCAAATATTGCATATAAAAAAAACGAAATGAGGTATTACTACCTACCACCTAAAACGACGGGATAATTTCAAACGTTCAAAACGTTTTAATTTCATGATTCGTTTAAATTTTGATTTGGTTTGTATGTATACACAAACTGTTGCATCAAGTAGTATACCTGAAGCCGTAAGCTAGAGTGCTTTGATTTTACTTCTCCACTCAAATATTGGATGATTGGATATGATGAAGAAACAGTAACGATTACATAATTCTTGCTGCTCCTAAACATGAGTACGTACGTTCTGAAAGTGGATATTACTATATTGGATAAGAATAGATGACGATTTGCTCACTTCTTATCTCAGGCTCCTTTCATTAACGACGTGCTCGAATTTTCGACATCAACATATATATATGGGTATATCTTACTGAAGGTGGCATGAAGTAATTATTGTTACAGCATGGTATTGTTCAAAAGAAATCATGCAGTGATACTCCACAACAGAATGGTGTTGTGGAAAGGAAACATAAGCATCTTCTAGAAACTGGAAGAGCTTTGTTCATTCAATCAAGAGTTCCTACTCGTTTTTGGGGTGGTTGCATTCTAGTTGCTGTTTTTCTGATGAATAAAATGCCCTTGAAAAGCATTAGTTTTAAGACACCTTATGAGAGGCTATACAATTCTTCTCCTGTTCTCACTCATCTAAAAGTTTTTGGATGCTTGTGCTATATCTCTACATCAAAAGTTCACAGATCTAAACCAAATCCTAGAGCCACACCTTGTGTATTTCTAGGATATCCACCAAATTAAAACAGTGGATGAAATTTTATCAACATGGCATCACTCCTTCGAGTTATTACATTTTGACTTTTTTACCTTCTACTGTATCTTCAAAATTGGATATCGATGACAATTTCATTTTTCTTAACTAACTTCAAAATTGGATATCGATGACAATTTTTAATTTTTTTTTTTAATAGCCAAATCTTGGATAAATGCATGATGGTCAGAAATAAAAATGTGAAGTACCAAGTAAAAAGTAAGAACAATGTCCTCTCATTAGGTCTCATCTTCATAAATTACCACATGTTAGTTTAAGCTAATGGTTGAAACTCGGAATTGATTTATATACTCTATCAGTTACTTTGTGGTCGATTGGTTGACAAGGATAAGAGTATAAGACATAGGAAGAAGTTGCACTTCTTTCGTTTCTTTTACAAAAACACAAGAAGTTGAACACTTACATGCCTAATATTTTACATTTCCAAAAAAAAAAGGTTGATTTTGTTAACCTAAAATCTACTTTAAGAAGATTATTAGTACATGATGTAAACACATACAAACATGCTAGAGTTAAAAGATTCGAGATCAAGACAAGAGTTATCATTTTTTGTTTTAGTCTTGCAAAAACAAAAAAATTGTATCAGTACTAATAATATCAAGACAAGATTTTCTGCAACTAGTCAGTTATTAGCTAATGGGACAAAATCTCTAAAACCAGGAGTTCATGTAAATATATGTACACAGCTTAAAATATATAAAAT